GACAGGCCCTGAGGGCCGCCAGGCCCGTGCTGAGGGCGCCTCGGGGCGGGTGGAACCAGGCACGAGCTCTGCTCCCCGCTCCGGGGTCGCTGCTTGCGCTGCTGTCAAGCTCAGCAAGGGACAGCCCAGGCCAGTTTAGCCCAGACGGGTCTTAGAGCTTCCAGAGAGTCTTCACAGAGGTGTCTGTAGTGCTGGGCTGCTCCACCGATGGCCTCTTGCAAGGTTTAAATATAAATACGAGTTTTTCCCCAGTGTTCAGCAGGTGAATGGGAGTGTGAACTGAATGTAAAGATTCTGGCTTTAAAAGCTGCTTTGTAGTGTCACGTGCTTTGAAAGCGGTTGATCTTTTGTGCCCAAAGTTAAACATGGGATTAAACATCTCTGCTTAGTAGCATGGAAGAAATGTGCCGTTTGGTCAAGAATTGCAGTTGGTTAAATCCAGCAGGCAGTCAGCCCAGGGTTTAATGTAATTCTTACAGTTAATACAGATTTTTAAGGTATTATTTCTAGCTTATTCTTGCTTGCTATAAAGCCCAGCCTCAGTGATGACTTGGGCAGCAAGGTTCAAAGATAGGCTATGGAGAGCATTTCCTTCCCTGATATATAATTGACACTTTAAAGCTCAGCAATCCAACTTAGGTGTAACTACAGAGGTGATAAATCAGAGGGAGCTGAGTTAATAAAAGTAGAGAAACCAGTAAGTTGATGTAACGCATGTCTTTGGGCCGGCAGGATATGTGAGGATATTACGCCGTTGCTTCTCAGAGGTAAAGTCTGGATTTAGCTTGTGGTGTTTGGTGGCGCCGTCACTGAAGCTGCAGGACCAGACAGTGCAGCTTCCACAAAACCTTTTCAACATCTAGGAGCCTGTTAAAGAGGTGGATGTGTTATTGTTAGCTTGGATACAGAATTAAATATTCTCCGCTTGCAGATCGTTTTCCAAAGTCTTTTAATGGCAAAGCCTGTTTGATTTGTCCATGTTTTGTTTTCTGGGTTTTTTTATTTTTTAGGATGAGCAGTTTGAGGCATGGTCTGGTAGAGAAGGAGCTTGGGTTGCATGATTTGGTAATGCAGGTCCACCAAGAACAGGAGGTTAGTTTGAGTTAAAAGGTGCAGCTTTTGCCTGACTGAAGGCCAAGGATGGGCCGAATAGATTTTTCCAGAATGTGGGAAAGAGGAGCTAGGTCAGTGCTAAAGGATCATATTAAGGGAGTAAAGACAAGAATCTGCAAGCTCTGCATAGTCTCCTTTCAGTGTAGGGTGGTGGACTGATGGATTAGCCACGTGATACAAGAATTGGCAGCTTGTGATCTCAGCAAGGTGCAGCAGGATTTCTCACTGATCATTCTGTGATCTAGTGTATCCTTTCTGTTCTGTGACTTGAGGCAAAAGGTGTTTGACTTCAGGCAGCACAAGTACATACAGAGGGATCCTGGGTTTCCTCCACAGTTGGGAGAAAGTTATATTTGGAGCCATTTTTCCTAGAAAAAACAATATACTTCTCATCACTACCATGTTTTGACTCAAGGATGGATTTACTTGTGCATCACTGTTTTCATAAAATCAGGGTTCTGTGAAGCACATACGTTTTCTCAAGTAGTTGTGAAAAGCGTATTGCCCCGTTTCGGACTGCAGCTTTGGTTTTATCAAAATGAACTTGTAACTGGATGTAGTGCTGCTCGAACCAGAGCTCTTATGGATGACTTATCAAACCAGCCTGCAGTGTTTCCTCGCAGCACTTGGGACGTGTTCCCAGAAGACCAGTGAATATTACCTGTTTTGTGGTGTTCTTTCCTTTCTTTCTTGGCTCTTTAAGGCTGCAGCCGCCTTCTATTGTGCACTAACCTGATCTTATGTTTTCACTGCAGAAATGTCTCATCAGTGGCATATGGCTTATATCCAGAAGATACCCAGTTCCTGCAGTCCACAGGGGTACAGTGTATAGAATGAGCAGGCCCGTTTTAGAGATCCATCAGGTTGGTTAACAGCTGATATATTTTTTTTTTTAATTATTACTTCAGGCTGAAAGTGGTTTCCCATTAGGGTACTAATCTGTGGACTAGATGTGGATATGTTCCTGAGAAGCACCAGTTTTAGGTTGACAGTTTCCACTTTTTAAGATATATCTGATGAATTCAAGGAATTTTGTAGCAGCTGAGTCCAAGTGACAGAGTTCAGGAGTGGTGCTCTGGTAACTTCATCTACCAAACTGTTTAAGCCTGAATTAACCTCTGGAGTTAAACTTCCTCTGGAGATGCATCTTTTTTAATGGCTCTATAGATGTACTTCACAGGGTGTTACAAGTGTGTTGGACATCTGGCTGTTTTGAGGGTAAATTGCTTCTTTTTCAAGGTAGCTGCATGTTTTCCACAACATTTCATACGTTGGAAGTGACCCAGTGCTTGGCTTAAGTAAATCTACCTGCTGGCTTTGATATGTGTTTAATTTAACGTCTCTTTAGATTCTACAACATGTAATGATTTTCTTTAGTCTAGATGCTACTCTTCTGGAGGAAGAAAGGGTTTTATATCAGGTTTTGTGGAGAACATCAAACAGGAATTAGCAAAAAACAAGGAGATGAAAGAAAGTATTAAAAAGTTCCGAGATGAAGCCAAAAAGCTAGAAGAATCTGATGCGCTTCGAGAAGCACGGAGGAAATATGTAAGTCTTCCTCGTGTATTCCTTTGATGTTTTCATTGCCCAACCACTGAGCTGTTACTGTTCTGAATGTAAATTTGAATCTTTCTGCAAATGAACTGTTTAGTTCAGCATGCCTGTTTTTATGAGAAGTTCTGCTTGGTTGGAAATACTGGCTGGTAGATGGATGCCTTAGGTGTTTTGGGTTTTTTTTAGTGGAAAATCTTTCCAACAGACTCTTCACTGGATTTCCCAAATAATAAGCAGATAAAATAATGACACATTAAATTTAACGTTGGCAGTAGTTAAATACTTCTTTTTCATTCTTTCAAGAACTATGAACAGCATTACTTGCAGAAATGAAATGCTGAAGCTGGTTACTCAAGTAGTTTGCTCCCTAGGATGTAGCTCTTTTTGTCCTCAATTACAGTGTTAATGGGGTGTGCTATGTGCTGAACTGTTTTTGAGTATTTTCCCTCCTGTAGTTACATGCAGAATGTTTTTTTTTTTTTTTTTCCACAGAAAACCATTGAATCTGAAACAGTGAAGACCTCAGAAGTGATTAAAAAGAAACTTGAAGAAATAACTGGTACAGTGAAAGAGGTAAAACGCAGCTATGGAAGAACCCTTCCCTAAGGCAGTTCTGCTCTAAGGTTTTGTGTTTTGTGCACATTTGTATTATCACCCTTCCTTTTTTCTTGGTGAAAGGTGGTTGCTCTTCCAAAGGTGGTGACTATTTTTAATCTTTAAGGCCAGAATCATTAACAAAATTGTAGTGATGGCATATGATAGATTCCTTAGTCAGTCAGTGTGTGGTCAGAGGAGAGGCACTGTGCAGCGATTCCTCTCAGATTTGGAGACTGGAGATGGTCCTTACAGTTCTGTGTTGTCTAGCAGTAAAAAAAGCCTCAAGGTGGTTCTTTTACTGGAGGGTAGTTAGAGCAATGCTGGAAAATCATCCTGGAAAGTTGTTTAGGAGATGTGATGCTCTTCACACTGACACTTCTTGCTACTAAGGTGCTAGGGCTTCTGGCTTCTTACTGCATGTTGAAAAAGATCTGTAACGTCAGAGGCTCCAGGTCTTTGTAAGCAGAAGTGCTGGTGCTATAGTTGAAGTGCTCTCCTCTCAGTTAGCATGCTGCAAGTGATCCTGTGGCTCTGTGTCTTGGGAATAACAAAATGCCTGGAGGAGCAGGCATCATTCATACCCAGCAGGTATGAGTGTCTTCCATTCGAGGCTCAGACTTTAAAGATCACTGTGTCTGTATAGATCTGCTTCTAAGCAGTTGAATTCAAGTTATTTTTTAGGCTGGGACTAAGCACTGCAGCTTGTGCTCATTTACTTCATATCTTGTCCGAATTCATCTAGAGAGCAGATGTATTTGTGTGTTTAGTATGCTTTGATTTTTATCTTTAGAGGAAAATTCTGAGGAGTCTTCCTGATATTATTTTAAATATGGAATAAATAGGGTGCATGTGACACCTGCAGAAGCTGATCTGCAGCTGTGAATTCAGCTGGTACAAAACTGGGCTATTTGGGCAGTCCTCAGTGGGGTGCAAAGCCTTTTATTCCTTATTCCCTTTTCTGCCCCCTTCATCCATTCAGCATCTCCCTGCTGCTTTCAGAGGACAGGGAATGACTGGCAGGACAGGGCCTGCTGGAATCAACCTGCTGATTCCTGCGTGCTCAGCCTGCACCAGCTGCCCTCAGTCTCCAGGGCTGCTGGGAGGAGGAGGAGAGAGCAGACCCAGTCTTACTCACTCCTTTGTGGCAAAAGTGCCTGCTAGCCCACCGGCTCCCAGTCTTGCTGCTGGGTTTGTCGTTACCCTTCCTTCTGCTGTAGATCTGTCAGTACCCAGGAGGTGGCACTGAGCTAGAAGAGTTGGAGAAGGGCTGTTGCTGCAGTGGCTGCCACCCTGATGGTTACTCCCAAGTCTTGTTTTTCCCTCTTACTGATTAATTAAATCAGCAATGATTGAAAACTTACTGCTCTTTCTCTTATAGGGAGTACAAAATTTTCTGTAGTAAGTTAGAGCTGAGAGATGCTTCAGGAGGCTCTTTCTTACCTGTCAGTTGAAGCTCACAGACTTCCTGCTCATAGCTAGACTGCTTCAGAGCAGAGTGAGCCAAGCCGTTTTCAGCCGTGGTTTAAGATCAAAGCCCGTGTGATTGTTCCCAGCACTTTCAGTCAGGTGCAGGATCCCCGCTGAGAAGCAGCCAGCCAGCCGCTGGACTTAAACTCTGTGCAGTCTGAAGTCTGTGTGGGCCTGGTGCCTGCTCTCTGCTGCGTTCCTTCACTCTCATTCTAAGTGTAGCTTTGCTGTAGCTTAACTGTGTGTACGTAGGAGCTGGACATAATGCTCTTTGCTGACGTAGACGTTACCATTATCTTTTCAGTACTGTTGAGGGCGCTGTAAGCGTCTTTGTTGGCCACATCTCACTGAAAACCAGGGAAAAGCAGTTGGGAGTGTTATCCTGTCATTTCTCTTCCTCTGGGGTTGTGGCTTGTGGCCCATCAGAATTGGTGGCCTGCTGCCAGTGAGATTTCCAAGATCCTTGAGAATCTGATGTGTGATGGTGCAGAAGGAAAGGGTGACCAGCTGCTGGCAGAGTCCTTTTAACCTCTTGCATATGAGATGCTCTGTAAACAGCCAAAGTGATGTATATGGAGATGTTGGGTTGAGAAAAGCATTTCCTAATTTTACAGGAAGAGTTGCATAGCAGGGAGCTGTCTCAGCCTCTTTTATACCTTCTTTTAAGAAGCAAGAAGTCCCTGATTGTTTCAAAAGAAAGGGCTAGGGTATTTTAACTCCAGCATCATTGGTCCTTCTCTTTGATGTCAAGAAAAATACATATTTTTTGAAATCTGGGGGTAGCAGCTATTACAAATGCATATGGTCCCATGAGCAGCCATATTTGTTGTTCTGCATAGAGGTGTTGGATAGCGCTGCAGTGCCAAGCCATGGTGTCCCTGTAAAGCCTCCCCTGTGACACGTGTGTTCACCTTAGGGTTGATTAGTCTTGTCATGTGTTAGGAGGTCTTCAGCATTCGCAAAGAGGAGTTACTCAAAATAAGTTTTTCCCTGTTTCACCTGAAATGACCTTTTCTCTCCTGTTCTGTTTTGTTTCAGAGTTTGGATGAAGTAAGTAAGAGTGATATTGGCCGAAAGATAAAGGAAGGTGTGGAAGAAGCAGCAAAAACAGCAAAGCAGTCTGCAGAGTCAGTGACAAAAGGAGGAGAGAAATTAGGCAAGACAGCTGCCTTCAAAGCTATTTCTCAGGTACGTAAGTCCCACACCTCTGCAGGACCCAGCGCTGTGGACACAGCTTGTTATCATGGAAGTTATGAGCGAGTTTATGCTGAGTATAAAATGAAATGCAAAACTCTTAGAGCAAGTTCTTTTGAACCATTGGAATAAGCTGATAAGTTCCAGAGGTGTATTTTTCAGGTCTGGTGTTGACTCAACAACCCTAGAAAAGTGTAAGTTGGGAGTAGCTGAGCTTTTGCTAAAATGTGTTACTGGAAGAACTGGTTGCTCTGCTTGTGGAGTAGGATAGCAAATGTTTTCTGTAGACAGGTACTGGTGGTACTCTTGAGAACAAACTGGCTTGTTTAAAGCTCTCCTTTTCTTGAAAATGTGTAAGCGCTCATCTGTTTTGATGTCACCCAATCAACTGGCAGTCAGCCTGACAAGAAGTGTTCCCCTCGACTGGTTCCTCATGCCTCAGCTTTAGCCCTTGTAAGAGGAGCAGTATCAGTCACATCAGTCATGTCAGTTCCCCTCTTTCTGTGTTCCTAATAAGACATCATCTGCTAAAGGTCATTTCCAGCTGTATCTGCAGATCACATTATCCACCATATTTTTTTCTTTTTCTGTCAGGAAACCTGTTATCTTGCTCCAGCAGTCTCCTAACCTACGAACTGTTTGATCCTTCTATAAAGCAGACTGCTAGGCCAGACTTTATAAACAGGCAATGGTTTTATAGGACCATAAAGTAAATTTTTTGAGGCTTAACGATTTGTTTTCCCTGTAAACAGATAAAAACTTTTGATGCATTGTCAGATGTAACAGATTCACAGACCTTTTATAGGCTGTGAACAGTTCTTGCAGCTTTGCTATACTTTCTAGGATGTACGTAGAATTTGGAATATTCAGTCAGCTGCTTCAGAAAACCAAATACAATTGTCTTAGAAATTGTAGTAGTAGTCTCATTTTAAGCTCCCCATGATTTTGGTATTTAGGAGATAGTTTATTTGCACGATCTGGAGCTAGATGATATCCACAGGGGCTTGTGTCTTGTTCTGTTCTCTGCCAGGTTCCCTCAGATTGTCTTTTATAGTCAGTAGGAACAGACTGAGCTTTGGAGCTTTTTATTTGCTTATCCTTGATGTTTACAGTCACTTAAATTCCAGTTTCTGCTTCATATCAGATCTCTGGCATCTATTCTGTCTAGGCCCTGAGCGCTGTGGTAACTTTCTTCAGGGGGAAGTCACGCTGACTTTCAGTAGGGGAGGATGGTTTACGCTGGCAAAGCTGTGTTGGACATTTGGTGTGTCCTCCAGAAAACTCCTGCATAAAATAAAGTTGAAAAATAGCAGCCCCCATAAAGCCACATGATGCTTTGGGCTGCATGACTTGCATGTTCTAAATAAAGATGCAAGTTGGGAAAAGCTGTATAGAGTGTGTATAATAAAATCCCTTTCTGCCTGCCTGTGTCTGGTTGCAATAGGAAAGTATGCAACTAGAGAAAGTACTGCTCAAAAGTTCAGTAATAGAAGTAGAGCAGCCAAGATGAAGGAGAAACACTAAAAATGTCTTTTAGTTCGAGTTCCTATTGAACTGTATGACAAAAATTCCCAACAACGGTTGTGGTAGGATGCAGCTTCCTCTTGGCAGTATCTGGACTAAGGATGTAGCTGTTCACTGTCTATCAGTCCAGGTTTATCAGGTCCTTTTTCTTGATGTAGCCTCACCCAAGAGGGAGAATATCTCCTATTTCTCCTTTAGTATAACGGCGCTACTGTGATTTTTTTCACATCTCTGCTCTGGCAAAAAAACAGTTTGCTTTGAAGCTATTTTCTCAGCTAGGTGGTGTGTAGAAGTCTGTAAAAAGGCTTCTTTTTGTTTTGGGGAAAACAATACTTCTGTTGGTTTAATCTTGAGCCTAGAACCTGAAATTTACAGTGGCTTTGCAGTTAGTTGGTGTCCTGAAGTCCTTCCCCTACTTCTGGATACTAGGAATCATTCTCCCTTTTGCCTGGGGCTTGTCTTTCTATCAGCAGCTGCTGGCTGTTGGGGGCTGATATGCTTGCCTTCCTCTGACTTGATTTATGCCAATTTACACTCTGTAGAGGTTACCCTTTATCAGCTGTAAGGTTTGACTGTGTCTGTAGTTTCTACTGTATTGGTTTTTTTCTTCAGGTTGATTCAATACAACCATCCATTTGCTGTCCTAGGCTGTTAACTTCTTAAGCAGAAGCCCTTGCTATTGGTGTGTTTGTCAATAGCCATTGGCAAAGAAGCATTTGCTGAGTAAGGGAGGGGTGAATAACCTGTGGTCTCTTTCTTTTTAATTTTTTTTCCTTCAGCAGAAACGATTTTCAGTTTCTGGGAAGGGGCCGGGGGGAACAGTAAATCAACATAATAGGGATGTTTTCCTTTCAGGGTGTAGAAACCGTTAAGAAGGAAATAGATGAAAGTGTTTTAGGGCAGACCGGTCCTTACAAACGTCCGGAGCGACTACGAAAAAGAACAGAATTCTCAGGCGAGAGGATTAAAGAGGAGCGAATATTTGAAGCCAATGAGTACGTATTGGATTTAATTTAGGGTGAATATTTCTGTGTATAATTTGATATAAATGTGAAAACTTAACTACAGGTCAGGGATGGTTAAAATCCCAAGTGCTGAATTGAGGCTGTGGGGTGAGGTGTAACCTAGCAGAGCAAGTAGGTCTGAGAGTAAATTTCCAGCATAAGTTGATGATACGGAATGTTCCGATAGTAAAACAGGGCACTCAGAATTATAAAGTGGGTACATAGTGTTCTGACATGAAATTAGGACTTGTGCATGTGTTATGTTTTCTCTCAGTTCTAACATCTTGCTGTTGAATTATGTTTGGCAGTGCCAAGTCTGAGCTCCTTTGCTTTCTCTGCTGCCTTGCTCCACTAAGTCGTGTATCATTTACGTGGTGTAGCAGCCTCAGTGATGCTGCAGTGATACTTATCGGGATGTTCTCCTTTTTATTCTCTCAGTTGTAAGTTACTCGTTCACAAGAACCCATGTTTTCTGCACTTTTCCAGGGAGGCCATGGGTATGGTGCTGCATAAAGACTCAAAATGGTATCAGCAGTGGAAAGATTTCAAGGACAACAATGTGGTCTTCAATAGTAAGTGTTCCAAAGACAAAGGAGTAGCACGTTATTTTCCCTCTTCTGATTCTTGCTGTGTTGGATCTAATGCCATCTGTGCAACTAGTCTCAACATAATGCAAATCATAGCCATTTTTTTTTGTTGTAGCTGTTGCTGTGAGGTGGTGTGAATGGGATGTAGGCGTAGTTGACAACATTGCAGCTTTTCCAAGCTGCTCCATCTGTGTTTGGACCCCCTCCCCCAGTCAGGCATTGTTTTTGATCAGTCCCTGCTCCCTGTAGGTACCAAAACCTGCTTTCGCCATTTCTTAAAGAGAAGCAAACTCTGTTCTTTTTTCAATTTTTTTTTTTTTTTTTTTTTTAGCCAGATCCACTCTGGCACTGGAAAGAGACTGGGGCATGCAGGTGTGTGTGTCACCAGGGAGAGGGCAGGCAGATCTCTTCTTGAGCTTATAACGAGGAAAAATCTTGTCTTCAGTGAGCTGGTTTCTGTTGTCATCTGCTTAGAACTCTGGAATGTGTGGGACTTTGCCTCCTTCCTGTTTTTATTGCAAAACCTAAAAATACTGAATATCTGTACTGCAGTGGGCAATGGCTTTTGATAGTTATCTAGACACTTAATGTTTCTGAAGGGTATAAAGAAACCTGAGACCAGAATCCTTCAACAAATCAAAATAATAGCTGCCAGTGTACTGCAGGGTAAATGACTTGTTAAGGGAAAAAAACAGTAAAAGTGCAACATACAATTAACTTTGGATTGTTCTTCTTCCCAACTTCTTTTGAAGTGGGACTCCTTGGGAATGGATTTTTATATCCCATTGTTACCCTTTCTGAGGAGAGATGTTCATAGCTCCTAAAACTCCTCACATGTTGCATCCTCCGCTCCTGTGCCATCTGCACGAGCTCTGTGCATTCCTGAGGATTTATGCGTCTTTCCAACACCGTGGTTTTGCAATTCAGGCAACATTGCAGATGTGGTTGCACCAGGCTTTTACAGCGTGTGCTCTCCCTTTACGTACCACCTGTACCGAGGACACTGTGTGTTTTTTGGAAGGAGCATAAGCTTCAGGGCAGGCTTCCAGCTGTTAATTGATGTGGTGGGAAGAAGCTTCCCTGCAGGGCCCATTATTCCGCAACTACCTTCTGCCGTTCTGCTCCATCTGATGTTGTCCAGAGACAGATAATGGGTTGGTTCAGCCCTTAGTTTGTTGCAACAATGCCTGCTTGCTTAAATGGCTTTTTTTTTTTTTTTTTTTCCCCCCCCTACCCCCTGCCTTTTTTTCTGCCTTGGAGATTTTGCTTTGCAGTTCTCCTTCCCCATCAAATGACTTCTGTAGTTTTCTGACATGCTTGGCTTGCTTTCTTATCAAGGTTGAGAAGTACACAGCTGCTTAAAAACTGCATCCTTACTGATATCTTGCTATTTTATTAAAAATTTGCAAGGTTTAAGGTCTATTCTTGACTTGTCTCCCAGTTAAAACTTTCTGGGGTTGGTTTAGCATCCTGCTCCCCTTTGTAGCAGGCTGAATCAAGAGGTGTAAGCAGACTGTTACTGGTGTGAGCAAATCTACTGTATTTTATAGAGTTACTGGCAGCTGATGTCAGAGAAACCATTATTCTCTTAATGACAGTTACTAATAGTTGAGAACATTGCAGGAAGATGAGAGAAGTAACTTTTGAAATAGATACTTGTTTATCAACAAAGAGGTTTAGAAGCGAACTACCAGGTTTCATCTACAACCCATAGCATGTTGTTTCCTAATTCAGGAATGTAGTGGAAGGATGCTACTGCTCATGTCTCCTCTCCTTTCAGGGTTCTTTGAAATGAAAATGAAGTACGATGAAAGTGATAATGCATTCATTCGAGCTTCCAGAGCTGTCACAGACAAAGTCACTGACTTAATAGGTAATGTTTCATCGTTGCCGTGAAAGTGTTAGTTCTGTTCCTAGTGACTGTTTGTGCTGTTGTCCTCCGTGTGTTACTAACCTCTGGGGTAGATTCTGGAGCTTTATAATACTTTGCATGGATCATTATCCAGTATCAGGCAGCGCAGCAACCTGCTATGGGATCAGAAGTGCTGTACGATGACAAATGCTTGTAGGGGATAAATCTCAAGCGTAACCTAAAGTCTGCAGTCATTCCCAGGTTCCTTCCCTCTGGTGTATAACCAAGGGTTTTTCTCTTGTTTTCTGGTGACAGTTATTGTGCCACCAATCTCACTGAATTGTTTTATTAGGAGGATTGTTCTCGAAGACAGAAATGTCTGAAGTTTTGACAGAGATACTCAAAGTGGATCCATCCTTCGACAAAGATCGGTTTTTAAAGCAGTGCGAGTATGATATAATCCCCAATGTCTTGGAGGTAAGGTGGGGGTACAGTATAATGCATTTGTTTTATTTGTTTCTTTTGTTATGGCAGGTTTTTTCTTTTAGTTTTCTGATGCTAATATTAAAAGCTGGGACAGCATTTGCTTCTCGAGCATCCAGCTTTGCACAGAACATGAGATAACCTTGGGAAAAGGAAGTTGAATCCCACATAACAATTTAGTTTAAAACTATACTGCATAATTTAGTAGACTGGTAAATTTTTTTTCTGGCCTCGAAAACAACTAACTATCTTCCATGAGAAATGATATGGGCATCAGAGGGATCAAACTGAAGTAGGTGGATGAACAACAGTACTGGGAAAATGGTGATATCAAATATTGATAAAGAATTTGGTGCGTATGTACTACTGGATTCTAAATGATCTGTGACTGCTTGGGAAGAAGACCAGGTCATGACAAATGGTTCGGTGAAAGTATTTCTGGCACTAGTCAAGATAACATGTGGAACAATGTTTTTAAAGACTAAAGTATAAAAACACATGGAGGATAGCACTGATGAAGGATGTGGCATCACGTATAAATGGATATAGTTCTGCTCACTGTAACAGTGTGTTAGAAAAGACAGAGTGAAAGTAGGGGATTTGAAAAAGTAGAGCAGAAATTGTTTTGAGAGATTTGTGTGAGACTGGAAATACTGAGGTTTGAAGAGATAAACAAATGCTAAGATAGAGCAAAGTGTTATTTTCTCATCCTGCAGTGCAGTGACTGATCATATCTCAAACTGATATATGCTAATACACGTGTAGAAATATTTATAATACTGCTAGTCATGAGGAGGTAGCATTATAGGGTGAATAAAAAATAATTTGACGCTTACAGATACAAACATTCAAACTGATGCATAGTTAGGTTTTGTCACTGCTGTCTTTGTAGTGACTGGTTTGTGCATCAGATCTGGGACTGGAAGTCTAATGTTGACAGTGAAGTAAGACAGACCTGTCAGGGTGAATCTGCTTTTCTTAACGGTGCCGTGTCACTAAAGCGAGCTGCAAAAAATGGGCTCTTGACTCTTGGAGAATGAATTTTCACAGGAGAGGTTTTTTTTCAAACTGTAGGCAGCCAGCTTACAGATGCCATCGGGTATGAAGATTTATAGGCATTAGATTGGAAAAACGCCCTGCTACATGTAACTAACTTTATTTTGAAATCTGCTGAATTCCCAGCTTCTGTCTCATGAATTCCAGGTGTTTATTACACCATTGTTTTAAAGATAAAGTTTTCCATGAATTGCAGTGTGATTCTTCTGTTCATTTGGCGCCCTGAATTTTTCACAGTCTTGAGAACTGTAGATCTACTTCTGGTTTGTACTCCTGCCTCTGTTAATCCCACCTCCCAGGGTTTCTGGGTAGTGGGTGTTCTGCTGACTTTTTGGATAGGAAAGTTTAAGATAGCTTTTATCTTAATTATTGAAAAGGTTTATGTACATCTGACTCGGTACATGTGTGTTTATAGAAGTTCTTCATGCTGCTCCCCTTTGAAGCTCCTATCTTTATGCAGGGTTTCACAAGATACAGGATTTAAAGTATCTTGCCACCAGTAATTTCAACTCTGATATAAGAGGTGTTTTAAAATGTTCATGTTTTATTTGATTTTCCTCTCTTAGGCTATGATGTCTGGAGAGCTTGATATCCTCAAAGACTGGTGCTATGAAGCGGTAAGTAGAGCTCCTAAAAATGTCTGAAAAGGTTATGATTCTCTTTTAAGTAGGTTTCTTTGCTTGCAAGCTGTCCTGCTGTTGTATCTATGATGTTGCTTACCTGCTTTGCCCAGCTGCTTCCCCATGTAACGTGTTCATACTACAAAAGACAAATGCAATCAAGTGTACCCGCTGGACTTCTGAAATAGTCTGGATAGGAGAGAAGAGCTTTAGAGACAGATGGTGAATCAAGAGTTAAGCTCAGACTAGTCACTAGCTCCAGTTCTGCACTTCTCTTCTTGATTTGGATGGGGTTTAGTAGAGCCTGTATCCCACATACGTGGTGAGAAGGTGCAGAGACATTTGAGCTGACCCAAAAAGGCAATGCTTTTCTGCTTACAGAGTCAAGTTGTCCCTGGAGCTGCTACGCAAACACAGCTCCACTGCAGTATCCCAAGCAGATAATCCTGGCAGGCTGAAGTTTTTTTAAGAAATTGCATCAGAGGTGATCTGCAGCCTGGGTAATCTCACTGCAGAAAACAGATCTTTCTTTTGTTATACAAAAACTGATTTTGTTTTTGTGCTGGGATAGATTTTCAGTATTGGATCCACTTCTTGAAATAATGAGTATGAATTGGTTGCAATTCAGTGATTGTCCACTTAACTTCATGAAAGCAGATCCTTTCCTGACAACGTAGATGGACACTTGTTCTGGTCTTCACGCTGCTCCAAAATAATTGCGTTGTAGGCTACGCAGAGCCATTAAATAAAGAATTTAATTGCTTAAAGTGAATGTTCTTCTTACTGATCACCGCCACCAGAGGGCTGGAAATGCACACACTGGGAGAGGCAGGTTTTTTGTATTTAATTTTGTGGTTGTTAGTTGTGATTTAACATCTTCATAACAGTGTTGCGGTACGTAAGAATCAGATATTCAAAGCAGTAAAGTAAACAAAGTTCTTTACTGGTTCAAGCAGCCTTTGAAATGACACCGTAGAATTCCTCTCAGATCTCTAGAGGGAAGTAGCAGATTCACTGCAGTTTGTAAGACAAAAAGCAAACCTTCTAAGCTCGTTGTAGCTATAAATTAAGCTCGTAAGTTAAGAATCATCCATAAAATAAGCCAAAGGAGGAAATGAGAGTCCTATTACTGTGAATCCCGGAGATAAGGCTCTTGAACAGATCATACCACGAGCGTGAAGTGTGTGATACTGCTCACTAAAGTGTTGGAATACAGACCAGTAAAGCAAAAACTTATTTAAGTGGCAGGTTTACCAACCGAGCTGCAGGTTGCTGTCAGCCCACTGGCTTAGGTATAGTTTGTGGTTCATGGAGCTGCCTCTTGTCCTCAAAATCCCTGATCTGTAACTTCAGCTTCTCTCTAGTGACTTTGCCAGCAACTTCTGTAGGATATTTGCTTTTAAATGCTTGTGATGAAGGTTAGAAGATCCATGGTGGGGAGGCAGGTAGTGACTGCCTCCTGTTTGTTTGATACCTGCCAAGAATATGGTGATAATGCTGGAAGCAAGTAGAAATTCACTGTCCCCAACAACAGTTCACGATGCATAAATAATGAAGCATATGTGCATGTGCCTAAAAGGAGCCAGGAAATGCTGGTCTGCCTCCAGGTTCTGGCTGGGTATTGGGAAAATAGCTCGGTTCCCAGACTGTTTCTCCTCGTCTGCTGTCGAATCAGAATTGTGAGTGCCTCGGCTACGAGATGCACTCGATGTACATACTCTGTTGTGACTGGTGGATCTCCTGCTCTGGCCAGGGGAGGTCGGATTTTCAGTGAAAATTTGCTTATGTGAAGCCCAGAGCATTTGACGTAGCTGTTCGATACCTTGCAAGACAGACGTGTTCAGCATATTTGCAAAAACATTACTTGTATTCTCCTCTTTTTTGGTGGTGCTCTCTAAGCAGAAAATCCTTTTTTCTTTGTGACAGAACAAATTCAAACGTGTAACACAAGTTTGTTTCTTCATTTAGACTTACAGTCAGCTTGCTCATCCAATCCAGCAAGCCAAAGCCATGGGCCTCCAGTTCCACTCCAGGATTCTTGACATTGACAACATTGATGTGAGTGTCCTTTTCTGTATTTCACCTTGGGGAATGAATTAGAAACTCAGGGGCTGAGAAGAGGTTTTCTTCTTTGCTCTGACTGCTGGCTTTTTGCCTCACGCTACTCTGGTGTTTGCCATTTCTGCTAACGGAAGAACCAGGTCACCGCTGCTGGAAGGGAGAGCTCATGGGACGTTTGCCACTGTGTGGTCAAGCCTCAGTTACGGAGCTGTGCTTTGTCTCCTCTCTGCCAGGGCAGCTTGGTCTTAATCACCAGCATACAGACTGAGGAAGGCTAACGATAAAGGCAAATAGCACTGACCCAGTGCTTTCACAAAGGGCTTTGTGGGTGCTTACTCTGGATGATAACGTGCAGTACGCCTGTGATTCAAGGTTGCACAGTGCAGGAGTGGCTGTTTGAGAGATTTAACTGCTGTTCTGGATGGCTCTCGATGAGAGGGGGGGGTTACAGCTGTGAGCAGAGCCGTTGCCTCCTCGAGAGGAGTGCTGGTAGTTGGGGGCTCTGGCCAGATGTCTGCACAGTTTGTAATCCTCTCGGCGTTCCCCTTTATTGAGGAGCCAGAGGTGTTATTGTTCTACTTAGCAGTAAGTCTACAGCAGTACTTTAATTTAAGTCTTTAGTGTCATCTGTCACTGGCCTCTTAAGGTTTCTTCAGATCTTTCTTGCAATGGCAAAGGTATCTCAAAAGAAATTACCACCTTTAGTCAGGCCTTTCATATCCCATAACTAGCTCTGCCTCAAAGGAAGTGTGCAAGGGGAGGTGGGGAACAGGGCAGCTCTACACTGGTGCTTTAAAACATGGGTGGAAATAGTCTGAAGTCAGATCAGCTGTTTGCCTCTCATCAAAGGTGCTAACTCAAAGGCAGCAACATTCAGTACCTGCTTCTGTTGGAGCCAAGTTGTGGTGCACTTGTCCAATATCGTGCAGCTGTGCAGTATTATACTCAATAAAATGATAAGCTGAACCCATTCAGACAATTAACATAAAGCCAACTGCAGGGGCATTCCTGTGGGAGCGGAGGACACTGTTATAGCTGTTTAGTAGAGGTTTAAACCCAGTGGTGATCTGGCCCGAGGTGGGGAAGCGGAGGTTTGGAAGCTCTCGGGTGGAGATGCAAATGGAGCCTGGCAGTAAAAGGCTGCTGTTCAGAAAGGGAGAGCTGTTCCAGATGTTGTCGGGTGTATTGGCTGGCCAGATGTTTCTTACTTGTGGTCACACCCCTGCAAGGCAGGAAGAATTCAGCAACCATCATGGAAAACCGAGAGAACAAAATCAGATGCTGTTGGTGGTTTCCTGAAAGGAGAGCTACTGATGGTGATTTTTCTCTCTCTCTGCAGCCCTATGCAGAGTCTCTCTTTTTTTGTGTGCACATCATTAAAAAACTGGAGTGGGTGCAGGAGAGCTCCAGAAACCTGTGAGAGAATGCCCTACAGCGAGAGACTTAATTTGACCCGTGTAGCCCTACAAAAGAACAGCAGGAACTGACTTGATTAATGACCGCCTGTCTTCACAGCCAGCCAGCAGATCATCTACAGGGCATCTCCTAACACAAAAGGCTAATGTCTCGTCCCCTTCCTAGGACTGTTTTGCCTTTTGGTCTTGATAGGCTTCTCATTTTCTCTCATCCATCTGGGTTCAGAGGGAAGCCATATCCTGCCTCTTCGGTAACTGAATATTAACTGCAAGCACATGCCAGATGAGCAGGAAAATTTCTGCGTCATCTGCAATTCTCTTGATTATCTTCAGCAATAAATAACGTGGTCTAACAAAATCAAAGCTATGGAAGTAATACTCATGATTGCTTTTTTTTTAAGCATCTTATTTAAATCAAAGGTTTTCCCTGTACTGTTAGTGTCTAGGAGACTTGATTTCATTGTATGCTAAATAACTTTTTTCCTCTGTAGGTGCTAATTAGCATAGAGTTATGCACAGATTCTGAGTGGTGACTGGAGAGACATTTCGTTATTAACTTGTTTTAGGTGCCTTTATTTTTGCATGAAATTTCTCAAGAAAATTACATCTTAGCTGGAAAATGATTGATATGGAACATAAATGAGTGCAGTTCTTAATGCTGTCTGTAGTGCGAGAAGGGGGGGGATAAAGGGTGTTGTGTGTTTTAAATTTTTAAATGTGTTTCTCTAGAGGAGATTTATGGGAGTATGTTGAGTGATCTCATCCAGAAAAACAGTTCAGCGAGTCTGGAAAAAAAAAAACCCATGTAGAAGATTTAAGGGAATTCACATGCTGCAAAATTGGCAGCATTAAAATTAAGATCAAGTCTTTCAAACATAAGCATCGGAACTCATGTTCCAGGTACTTGCTTAAGCACTTTTAACTTCACTAGACAACTACTGCCTTTAAATATAATGGAATTTTGGATCCTTGATATTTATTAGGACTATTTATTTGGCTGCCTAAATGCAGTTTTAAGTATGTGACTTGTGAAATGGGGTTTCTGAACTTAGTGTGGGAGGAGTGATATAAATACTGGCTTGATTATAGAGCTTTTTTGGGATCATAATACTAAAAAATAAATCAATACCAGTATGGAAGCCTTGGTGCCCTTAAGGGATACAGCCTATTCAGTGATAGAGCCCTCCTCCTCCTTGAAACCCACATGCAAATAGATTTATGTTGTTGAATTATCAATGCCAAGTGGCGTCATATAAAAATATCTGTCATGGAAACTGGTCTGACGAAGAGCTGTGAGATCTGGTTTTTTGGTACTTGGGTGGAAGGCGTTATGCATTGCTGAATGAGTCAGGCCAGTTCCAGAAATGCAGCGTGGACTGGGATGGCGTGAGTTACTGCAGAGCTAGAGAACAGATTCCCTCAGATTAAGCAAAGGACCATTGCTGTTTTCCTCAGGGGAGAGTAAAATATAAATACACATATTTATATTTTTTTGGTGAATTATGGTACAGTCTTGTAACTGTCTCTTGTGTTACGTTCTTTATTATATGATAAAATGCAATGTCTGTGTCTCATACAAAAGAATATAATCATGCTGCCGTAAGTTTGAGGTAGTATGATTACCTTTTGGTGTAACACAGAGTTACTGAAGAGCAAGATATTCTGTAGCATACAGCATTCCCACAAAAGAGATAGAAAAAGGGTTGTATTTTTGAAGAGCACAGCTTTGGGAGAAAAAAATTCTCCATTCCTCTTTGCATTTCACTTAATAAGTTTTTTAAATATTTAGTGGAATGACCTTAGAATAGAGAAAAAAAATCCTGTCAAACAAAAGGTTCTCACCTTGAAGTCTTTCTGTTACTTACTTCTGTTTATCTAGTTCAGTACAACTTCATGTCAGATTCATTCAAAAGCAAGAGAAAAAACTTCAGTTGATGTACTTCAGAAAAATCAATTTATTTTTTTTTTTCAAAAGCAAGGTTTCTTTTAGTTTTGGTTTCTAATTTGGGAATCATGGAACAGAGCTTGTTCATGTTTCCCAGGTATTTAGACTTGGAAAAATAGTGAAAAATTTCAGAACAATTTTGGGAAAGCTTTTAAATACAGGGAAAGTTTTCAGGAAAATGCTTTGCAATAGTTTTCTACAGCATCTGTATTAACAGAGCAGGTATAACCTGATTAAAATAACTAGATTCAGCTCTGGGAGAAGATGGGATTGTTAACTGTGCCAAGCGATAGGAGTCGGGTTAAATACTCGACGTTTTTACGTTAATCTACAGAAATTGTTTTCTAACGGAATTTTCTTTCATTGCAGCTGGCTATGGGGAAGATGATGGAGCAGGGACCAGTATTAATCATCACTTTTCAGGCTCAGGTCGTGATGGTAATTAAGAACCAGAAAGGGGAGGTGGTGGAAGGTGATCCGGTAAGTGATGCTCCTCAGCTTCACACAGTTCCCCCGGGTGCTCTGCTAGCTGTCTCTGTTCTTAGGGTTCCTGGGTGTGCCTGGAGCAGCGAGTGTCTGCATGTACTCATTCGCTCGTGTTTGTAATGCTGCATCTTGTGGGTCAGGTCTTGGTTCAGCTCAGCGTGGGCTCTTTATTCCTGTCAGACTCTTGAAGTGTTACGGCTTATTAATTGAGAATTGTTATCTACGAGGAGAGTCTGCAAACACCTAGAATGGACAGAGAAAGGGATATTTCTGAGACTGGCTTGTAGGAAGCATTTCTTTGCAGGAGGGGCTGTTGGGCGTTGGAATGGGCTGCCCAGGGCACGGGGGGAGTCCCCGGGATCCCTGGAGGGGTTGAAGAGTCGGGCTGAGCCAGCGCTGAGGGATCTGGGGGAGTTGGGGAGGGTCATGGTTGGGCTGGAGGAGCTTCAAGGGCTTTTCCAACCCAGATGATTCTGGGATTCTGTGATTTTAAAATCCCAGTGAGGAGAGGAGCTGGGGCTATGACCGCTTGCAGTGCTTTCCCCTCCAATTGCTGCTGAGCCTGGCCAGCACCCTCCCTGCCTGCAGTTACCACCTGAGTTCTGCTCCTCTGGCACCCTCCAGGACAGAATTGAACTGTCCTGCTGCCAACTGAAGCCCCATCACACAGCTTCCTCCTGATCCTGTTCTTTTTTTCCTCCCTTTTCCTTTCATAAAGGGCGCTGTAAGAACAGAGCACCAAGATGTTTGGTAAACAGGGTGGGAGCTGGAGTTATTTAAATCATTTGCAGGAGGTGGGGAAAATCACTTGTAAACAACTGAAAGTAGAAGTTTGTGGTTTTGGCTGCTGCCTCCCTGCACTGGTACAAAATATCTTACAGCACCACAAGCCTTTACTCACTGAAACTCTCCCATATCCAGTTGTGTTAAATGCTGTACATGGTACAGGCTTCTGGTGGGAACCTCTGACACGGGGTGATTTGTGCAGCAAATCCCTGGATTGTACTTTGCTGTGGTTTAGCTTTTAACCTACGAGTCCAGCCTGCGTAATCTGTTGTGAGGGATGCTAAACTGAGCCTGTCAGACATAACCACAGAATATGCTTGTTCCCAGAGTTAATGACACAGCAGGCTGAAGGAGCCCTGTGCATTTTTCTGGAATGCGTTTGTTCTCGAGTGGCTCGCTATCCTGACAGCTCTGGCTTGCACTGTGTCTGTGAATGTTTAAGTAGCTTAATGATATATAATGGGGGACATTGTGAGAGGCCTGGAGCTGGCAGTTTCTATCAGACTTCCATTAAAATTAATACATGCATTTAATAAATATTGGCTTTTTGCAACCATTCTCTTCAGTCCAGGCTGTAAGTTTTCAAAAAAAAAAGGGACTCATTTTAATGATGGAGCCCATCTGGACTGATTTACAGCCTGTCACATCAACTGCAGGGGTGGAACAGCTGATATAGTGATTTCTTGCATTAAATTACTGCATTCCTAGAAGATAGATATTGATGTGATAATTATTGAACAGGATATCTAAGTCTGTTTGCTGTCTGATTTCTCCGGAGCGGCAATGAATCAAGGAGATGCATTAAAATTCTTCATTGGAAACAAAACTTCAGCTTTAATCAAATGTCAGATGCGGGCTGGCTGGTAACTATGATTTGGTGTTAACTGCTGAGCTGCTCCTGCAGAGTACTGAGCAAATGACGTTCAAGGGAAAAGGAGCCTCGAATTGTAAACTCTCTAAATAGGAATCATATGCTTGTAATTGCTGCGGTATTTCACCTAGTTGCAGTTGTTCAGGTTCCCACTGCTGTGCTGCAGGCTCACCCCCAGTGAGGTGTGGGGAGACCAGGCAGCCTGGGACGGGGTGGGACACGGTGGTGTGGTAGTTAACTAAGGGGGTCCCCATGGAGCACCACAAAATCAAATCTGGGACAGTGAGGCCTTAGTCAACCCAGCCAGCAATGCTGCCAGGTCAAGGGGGTCTTTTTAAAATTAGCCCCTGAAGGACTGTGGGACAGGATGCTGTTTGTCCTAGCAGACTGGGGGATTGAAGGACACATTTTCACCTCGCATGCACGGCCATGATAGAAATCTGCCTTTGGGAGGCCACCCGTTTGCCGTCCCACTTTCTGTGAATATATGCAGCAGCATGCGCTGTACATTGAGGATTAAGATGTACGCTATTAATAAAAACACCAGGTCAGAAAAACGGAGTTACCTCTGCTCTGGAAACACGTAATTTTTATGTTTCATCACGTCTCATTTCCAGGAACAAAGCTGTGCTACTTGTTCAGTACCGCATGCTGCAAGATTACCAGTAACTCGGTTTATCAGCTGTTCATCCCTTCAGAAATCCCATGATCAAGAACGTAAACTCTTCAAGATGCAGCAGAGCTTTGATGCTGAAGTGTATGATTAAATTGCCATTCATCACAATCTTACGAGATGGACTTTGAAAATCACAAATTTCATGCAAATTAAGGCTCCACTGGCAATGTTAAATCAGTTACGTTACCCACTTCATTTTGAGCTTAGACTTAGTGTTTTGTATTCAGGAAAGATCTGTTAGCCTTGCTGTTGCTGGTACATCAATGTACAGCCTGTCTCAAGCAGGCAAAAGTTTTGTTTTTCTTCTCTTGTCCCCTCTGCTCTTCTTCTGACATACCCCAAACATCTGTATGGCTCAAGTTTTCAATCACTTCTAACACTTCTGAGCAGAGGTGAAGCAAGTTAATGTTCTGCAACACTGAGCAAGAAAAAAAAAATGGCTTTATGATATGTGATGTTTCTAAAGCATTAGTTTTTTAATGACTGGTCTGGTACAGAAAGTCTCCCCTCTCACATTTGTGTACCTAAATTATAACGTATAAAGATTCATGCATTCAATCAAAAATGTAAGTAGTTAACTACAGATCTGGGAGCTGAGCCAGTGCACAGTCTTATCCCTCAGTGATACTTCCTTATCTGAGGGAAATACTCTCCATGGTAAATGGTTAAATGATAAGATCAAAATAGCCTTTGACTTGCAGAGTGGATCTGTGACACTGCCAGATTTGGGCTTCTGGCAGCCCAGCCTCTGATGGGTGGTGTCGCCTCTCTGCTGGGAGAGGCAGCAACTTTGTCACTGGTAGCTGCAGTGACTCTTCAGGGAGTTGTTTTCGTAAGACCATGAGCGATGGCCTCAGGATGTGCTGAGATACAGTTTTCATCCTTATTCACTTACTCTGAACAAAACTGCTGGCACTCTCATTACATGCATCAGGGATGGAAAAGCTGATAGTTCTGTTTCAGTCTGTAACCCCAGATGGTGAAAGCGCTGTCTGCACGGCAAAGATTTGATGGCAGAATTAGTGTGTCTCTGTGGCTAACACTGTGGCTGGACTTGGTATGATCTGATTGTCATGGATTAATGTTGTTTTTTTAAATCTCTGTCTCTTCTCAGACCCGGTGATGATAATTTTTGGGGTAATTTGAGCTTCTCAAATGGAAGTGTGAGAGCTTGTGAGGAAGCTGTGGGGAGCTCATGGGCTGATGTGGGAGAAACAGAGTTATAGCTGCAGGAAAGAGCCTAAACTTGATGGAAGGTTACAGAGGGCAGTACAGCCTGGCAGCCGAACCAATTTGAAACCAGAAATTTGTATTTTAAAATAAGGTCCAATATCAATCTTGGCACTGGTGCCAGTTAATGTATGTCAGCCAGAGATATTTGGGAACCCTAATTCTGGTTTTGGATATCAAGTTTATCTGTTCCTGACTGTGATAAGTTTCTAACCACAATCTAGTAGATGTTGCTTGAGCTGTCCTTATTCGGGACCTTTGGGCTTAGAACCAGAGAGCAAAACCACAAGAACAATCTCTGGAGGAAGTGAGGAGCATGTCCCCGTCAGCTCTGAGCCAGGAGGTCCGTGACCATCACGCACGTTCTAACGACAGGATTTTCCTTCCAGGACAAGGTTCTGCGGATGCTGTACGTGTGGGCACTCTGCAGAGACCAGGATGAACTCAACCCCTACGCTGCGTGGAGGTTATTGGACATTTCCTCATCGAGCACTGAGCAGGTTCTCTGAGAAGAATTGCATCCAAGGGCTTCCTGTACCTCTCTTGAAGCCACGCTGGCTCTGAACTGGCACCAGTCTGCTGTATGATGGACTGTGGGGGAAGAGGCTGGGTTGGTTCCTTTTCAGAAGAACAGGCTATTCGGTGTGCCCTCGTTATACCAATCCCTGTAACAAACGGGACGAGTCTGACATACCTGCCTTACGCTTTGCTGTGTAGAATCGCACTGTAAGGATGTACGGTAGAGTTCAACGTGAATGGTCTGAGACACTAGCAGCTGCTGTTGGCTCCTTTATTAATTGTGGCTGAAGGAGGCTGGTTTGGGTCCTGTGTGGTTCCCAGTGCTTCCAGTGATGGACAGTGGTGGGTGTTGGAGAGTGAGATGTCACAGGTCTACATCCCATCTGCTGTTGTCCTCTGGTGGCCTCAAAGCATCCCTGAGAAGGTCTTAGAGGTGCTTTAAGGCTCGGTTTTAGCTAACGTACATCTCTCGCACAAGATGCACCAATAAGCCTTCTGTTGCTGCAGTGTCTTGCACTTTACTGAACCAAATACAATCAGGACTTTGCATATGACTCTCGGCTGGTGTGGGCATCATCAGGCAGGTTCTGGAGGCTGGTTGCAGGGGTGGAGTTTGCTGCCAGTGATAATATTTACATATCCACAGCTTTGCAGGGGAAACATTACTGTTTCTGGTGTTTGTTCATTGCGTCAGCTGGTGCCACTAAAGAGCGCACAACTGCATTTCTGTTGGGTTCTTCTGATGGTGTGGAGGAGAGAGGCTGTAACCGGCTGTGAGGGAGCAGGCAGAGTGCTGGAACAGAGGTCAGGAGTAGGGGTGGACAGAGGAGCAACAAAGGAGTAAATAAAATGCAATAACACACAGAAAATCACCTCTTGTAGCTCAGGTATTTATGTGAGATGGGAAAAGAGGGTGCAGCTCACACACCTCCTGTGTAAAGGTGCGTTATGAGCGTGGCTTCACCAGCTGGACTTGTGTGTCAGGGGGGTCAGGGGGGTGGCCCCGTGGCTTGGGGGTCCCAGGTAGCCACTGGAAGATGGCAGAGGGGGAGCTGCTAGCATGCTCACACAGACTCTGGGATCTCTGCTGAGGGCTCAGTTTGGGAGCTGTGATGAGGCCGTTGATGAACCAACCCACTTCTTAACGGAAAGTGAGGTTGGGGGAAGAAACATTGATTGTGGAGTAGGAAATCAAAGGGTTGATCTGCTGCTGTGTTCTGCCTGTGCACAAACCAGGGTGATGCAGGACAGCACTTCCTTGACATTATGATTAAAGAGAATAATTGCCAGTTCTTCCTTCTCTTGTGAGTGTCCGGATCAGTTCCTTTGAATGTCAGTGGGATTATCTCCCAGCCCTTGGGTGAGACATTTAACTCTAGCAGCTTTCTTAGAGTGAGAGGCAATAAGTGTGGCAAATTCAATAGCAGAGTCTGCCCTGTCTCCTTGGGAGATGCCCAGACCTGCTGTCTGGTTGCCACGCTCGGTATTTCTGCTGCTCTCAGGGCAGGCTGTGGGTGGGACATGGTCCCTGCTGCCTCCCTCATCACACAGTTTTCTCACTGGTGCTTTTGTCAGTGAAATAACTTCAGATTTTTACTCAGTATCTTAAGCACTAGTACACAAACAGAAGATCTGAGCAGAATAAATTCCACAATGCAGAAATTGGCTGTGAAATAGGGAATTCCTGTGTCTGCCTGCCTTCAGAAGTGGTGATTTGATGTTCAGGCTCTTCCAGGGACTGATCCCATCTCACATCTCTGCACACAGGCTCTGTCATGTGTGCAGAGACTTACCCTTGGTTTGAACACCAAGACCACTGAGTGCCAATGCAGTGTTGACAGTGAATGTCTTTGAGACGCTTTTTGAACCTCATCGGGATTGGGGAAAGTGTCATCGCCAAGACTGTGAAAAAATTGAGTCAGTGCCCTCGGAAAATGAAGCCTGGTCACCTCCTGCCCTGCTTCCTCAGTAGCTGGATGCAGGCAGTCGCTGATCAGAGAGGAGTCTGCAGCCTGGGTACGTATGTGCAACCTGTTGTCCAAGTCTTTTGGGATGCTTCTGTGAAGCACACGCAAAACTTCCTTTACTCAGCGTCCTTTTCACTTTTGTTTAACTGGTGATGGAGAAAAAAGATCTGAATTAAGAGGGTAAAACTTGTTGGTCTGCCCAGAACTGCAGTAACCCAGCCGTGGTGGGGCAGCAGTATCTCGTAATGGTTTGGCTTCACCTGTGAACACAGGGTCAGCCCTGCCTGTCCGCAGCGAGCAGAGGTGGCAGAGCTGGTGGTGCCTCAGTGATGCTGCTGCTACAGAAAATCCTTCCCGGAAGGGTGGGTTGCGGTGCTGGCTGCTCCCTGTGGGGACTTCTGAGATGTTCCCTTCAGCTGCTGTCTTGCTCGCTAGCAGCTTTTCTCCAGAGGTGCAGTGGCATGAGGGCAGTTCCTGAAATTAAATGAGATTTAAGCCATGGAGAAGGAGTGAGGGTTAACCACCCTAAACCCTGTACTGGTGGCTGTGGCGTTCACCATAGCCTGGTCTGCAGCGTGGGTTTGCTGGTCACCTCGAGATTCAAGGTGACTGTGCTGAATCCACCTCTTGGTTTTCCAGCAGAATTGGTGCATGGTGTGGGGCCTGGGAGCTGGGGATTGCTCCTCCCCATGAGGGAGCTGCTGAGCTGCTCTCCTGGCCAGGTGGGAGAGCCCCAGGACCTGAGGGAGCTTCAAGAAGCAGCAGAAATCCCAACTGCTGAAATGAACCATCTCTAAGCTCTGCCCAACGCTGAGAGATCTGTGGTGGTTGTGGGAGAGGTGGAGGCTGTCACCGCCCGGCCCTTCCTCTCACAAACCTCTGCCCAAGCTCGGACTGGGATGGAGCTGGGGACTCCGCACCCCACATCCCTTCTGGACAGGGTTAGAGGGGCTCTGGTGGAGCTCCGGGCAGCTCGGATCTGCTTTGCTTGGCAGAGCCTCGCTGTGATGGGCTGGCAGTGGGAGCCTAGCTGCTCGCCAGGCTTCTGAAACCTCTTTCCCCACATCTTGGGGGTCATGATGAGCATGTGGGGAGGGGTGTCTGTTGGCAGGGTCCTGCCTGAGGAGGGGACCCATTTCCCCTTGCCCTGGGACATCCCTCATCCCCAAACCCCAGCTGCTCTATGCTAAAGGGACAGTAGAGAGATTTCACTTGCTGCATCTCAGAGGGAAGTGTAACTTAATTATTTTTTTTAGCTCTTGGGATAATTAATTATCTTGGGATTTTATATTTTTTAAATAACTACAAGCAGCAGTCTCCTGGGAGGTGCAGATAGTTTGGATAGGAAAGCAGTGCTCAGCTTGCACGTAGCAGGAGGAAGATTTTAAATTATTTTTAAATACTTCTCATGAGTGAGCAGATTTACAGTGGGCTGTAAATATTTTGCAGCACTGAGTTATAGTAGCACTGCACAGGCCTGGGCTTGCTGGCAGCCACCACAGTGGCACTGCTGTAAAGGCACTGGTGCGTGGCGAAGATCTTGGTGATGCTTATAAATCTCTCTAAAGAAAGATAATGACTCAAATTGGTATCGGGAGAGCACCTGGGATGGGGAGATCTGCACTCGTGGGCTATGTCTTGGGGCTCAGCCTCCAGCCTGTTCCACTGGGGATTAAATACAATAATTGTAATAATATAAAGTGCTCTGGACCCCGTGCAAAGGGCAGTTCCATGGGGCTGAAGGTCTTGCATGGGGCTGGGCTTGAGCTGGAACCAAGTTAGCAGTGGTAGGGCAGGACCTCCGAAGGTCCAGTCTCCTGCAAGGAGCAGCCTGGTGCAGTTTTGGACATGCCAAAGGATGGACGTGGGACCTGGAAGTGGTTAATCCTGGGGCCACAGGATCACCGTGGCACACTTCATCTGCCCAGTGCCTTGCGAGCCTCGTGTTGAATGAAATAGCTGGTACTAGAGTAACCCTCCCCTTCCTGCTTTCTCCCACAAGAACCAGTGCAAAGCCAAAAATACGTACACGTAAGTGTCACTGTCCCTGGCTCCTTCAGCAGTCACACGCGGGCTGTGCGTGGTGTCAGGGGTGCAGGGAGGGAATGGTCCCTGCAGAAAGGTGACTGATGGAAGAGTGGAAATACCTGGAAAGCATCACATCTTTCTGCCAGAGGGCTGGAAATGAGGCTGGGGGTGGCTTGGGAGGAAGGCCTGAGCCTTTAGGGCTTCCCTGTCGTTGCTTTGAAGCACCAAAGGTCCCTTTGCCTATTGAATAGGAGCACGAGGGTCATGGTGAGACTCAGGTAATTCCCACAGCAGTCGTCCCTGCACGGGGGAAGAAGTTTGCCTTCGTGTTTGCCTTCGAATGTTTCCCTTATTCTTTTGCACAGAGGCGTTTCGAAAACTTTTCTGCTTGATAAAGAGATTTGAGATCATTGTGACAACACTGTAAATCTCTTAAGTCAATAGTGCGTTACCCACTTTAATAATTTCACCATCACATCGATTCTACATATTGAAAAAAAAGATTTATGTCTTTTCCTGGATTACCTACTGCCGAGAAGCTGTCATTACTGCTGTTTCTCGCAACAACAATTCTTCCCTCAGCCCCAAAATTTCTTGTCCCTCCTCCAGCACCAGAGTCCCATTTCACAGGTCTCGTTGCACTACAACTTGTGCAGAGGTTTAGATAATTGCTGTTTTTCTTGGCTGTGCTCTGCAAACCTATTTCATCGCTTGCAGGAGTATCTTTTGCCAGGTACCGCATGCGTGTTTGTGAAGCCTGGTTTAATTCTGCTTTAAATATTAAATACCGTTCGTTGTGTAGCTGGTTACTCGCTGTACTCTGTCAACACGAAAACACGCAGCTCGCTTGACGAGAGCTTTTAAAGTCAGAGATATATCGGTAGCTGGCTGCAACCACGTGTGCCCAGCTGCTATTTCTGTAGATGCGTTCAGCAGCCTGCGTCGGTGGGGAGGCGGCAGTGACGGAGTCCTGGGAGAGGGATTTAGTGATGAACGCCTTGTGCCAGCACGTGAGACAGTCGTGGTGGTGAAAGGATGCTCTTTCAACCCCGCTTCTCTGGGGGGAAGAGTGCCCCGAACCCCCATCATCCCGCTGGAAAGGCCAGGGGGAGCAGGTCCTTGTCACAAAAGACAGAGCCTCCCCGGGTCTTTGCAGGGCTTCTGAGAGGGACCGTCCTGGCACGGGATGGTGCTTGTAGGTGTCCTCGGCTCCCTGGAGGGATCGCAGCTCACGGCAGCGGGATGCTGGAGCCAGTTTTTGTGCAGCAGCACAGGACTTGACTGTGGGACTCTGACCCGGCAGGGACGAGGCAGGTGCAGAAGGAATTTTGGCCACTGTTCCCCGTTCCTCAAGCAGGGATGGGTTTGCACCTGGGTCAGTGCTGACCCGCTGCTGCCTGGTGGCAAGGGGCAGGCTTGTCCCTGAGGCACAGCGAGCTGAGCCTGTCATCTCCTCGGAGCTTTTAGCTTTGCAAAGGGCAGCTTTTTCTCCTTTTCCTCGTGGAGGAGAGGCAGCTGGCAGGAGAAGATGCTTGGCAGTGGGACACAGCTGCTGGCAGTGGGGTCAGTGTGTCACCAGAAGCATGTGAGATCTAGTGTTGTCCAGCCCACAAGGATATTTGGGTGAACGGGGATGAATTAACCCAACTCTGTGGTGTTTGGGGACATTGCTGTTGTCACACAGCAGCCTCGAGCCTGTACTGGTTCCTGGCAGCCCTTTGGAGCTGCTGCTCCTTGGCTGGGCTCAGGGGGTTATTTAATGCATGTCTCTCTATTAACGGGGTGTCAGGTCAGGGCAGTAGGAATTACAGCCTCGCAGGCTGAGCCTGCTGTGTCTGGGGGCTCACTTCAGCTCCACTGAGCCTGTTCCCAATTACCTGGACGTGACCTGTGCTGTAAGATGCTGGCAGACATGTTCTTGCTGTGTTCCCTGCTGGCCTCTGCCGAGGCACCGCACATCACCTCCGTCCCGTGCCACGGGGCAGGGGAAGGGGTGGCTGGGGATGCCAGGGGGCTTGAGGTGGCTGTGGGACAGGGAAACAGCGTCTGCCTGGGGCAAGAGCTGGGAAGCTTGGACCAGGAACCCATGGGAGACCTGGGTGTATCTGCCCTGTCTTTGATGGAAACCCCTGGGCAGGAGGGCTGGGATTGCTGCTGAGGATGGTGGTGCTGTTTAACCAGTGTCCAGCCCCTCACCAGAGACACATCCGAGGGGGACGTGTGTCCTCTCTGGCCCTGAGCACACCTCTCTCCATCCTGGATGCTGGCTGAGGATGCTCAGCCAGCCCCTCTCAAGTCCTCGCTGGGTTGGGGTAACTCCTGGGGCAGCTGTAACGTTGCAGGGGGTTCGGAGCTGGTGGAGCAGCTTGCTGTGACCCCAGCAGGGCTCTTGCGGGGGCTAGCAGAGAGAACATTGCGTTTTGGGGGCCAGTAATATCCGTGGGGGGAGGGATGCCAAGAGGGCCAATGGCATCCTGGCTTGTATCAGCCACAGTGTGGCCAGCAGGGACAGGGAAGGGATCTGAGCCCTGGGCTCGGCACTGGGGAGGCCGCCCCTCGCTGAGGGGGTTCAGTTCTGGGCCCCTCACCCCAAAAAGGCCATTGAATGACTTGAGCGTGGCCAGAGAAGGGCAACGGAGCTGGGGCAGGGTCTGGAGCACAGGGCTGCTGGGGAGCGGCTGGGGGAACTGGGGGGGTTCAGTCTGGAGAAGAGGAGGCTGAGGGGAGACCTCCTGGCCCTCGGCAACTCCCTGCCAGGAGGGGGCAGAGAGGGGGGATGAGTCTCTGGAGCCAAGGCCCCAGCGCCAGGCCCCGAGGGAATGGCCTCAAGCTGCCCAGGGCAGGGTCAGGCTGGCTCTGAGGAAGGATTTCTGTGCAGAAGGGGCTGTTGGGCGTTGGAATGGGCTGCCCAGGGCAGGGGGGAGTCCCCGGGATCCCTGGGGGGATTGAAGAGTCGGGCTGAGCCAGCGCTGTGGGATCTGGGGGAGTTGGGAACGGTCAGGGGGAGGGTCATGGTTGGACTGGAGGAGCTGCAAGGGCTTTTCCAACCCTGAGGATTCTGTGGTTCTGTGATGCAGAGAGTTGTTGGAGCCCGTGGTGCCATCCGCTCTCCGAGGAGCACGGCTGAACCCCTCTGCCAGCCTCGGCGGGGGCCGGGTTTGCCCTGGGTGAGGCAGTGCCACAGCACGGCAGAAGGAGTAACAGCCTGGGGAGGACTTTGACAAGGCAAAGCCCAAACAGGGAAGCAGAAGAAGGTCAGAAGGATCTGAGGGGATGGGGTGGACTGCAGCAGGGTGCGGGCAGTGCTGCTGGGACAGCCTGGCTCCTCAGGCCTGGCACAGCCCCCTCCAGCTGCCAAGATCTGCTGTGGGGAGAAGCCATCCCCTCCTCTGATGCCCTGGTGCCCAGCCCCATGGCAGTGCAGACCCACCAGCCCCTCACTGGTGGCTCAGAGCCATCCGTGGTTTGGGGACAATAACCATCCTTCCCCCCAAGAGCTGACAGTAGGAAACACTGCAGCCCTTTGTCCCGAACCCCGGGGGACTGTTTGCTCCTGTGAATTTGCATTTCATTAATATTGAATAAAGGATAATTTGCTGTAATTAGGGCCTGAACCCTGCCAAAGTGGAGGAGTTTTGGGCTAAGCCAATTAACGGCAGCGCATTGCAGCGTTTAACAAGCTTGGCGAGTGCTGCAGGGCGAGAGGCTGCTGGGGAGGGGACAGCAATTAACCTGGGTGACAAAGCGCTGACCAGTTACTCCTCAGGTACAAACAAGCTCTTGCATTTATTCCGAGTGATTCTGTAGAGCCTGGGCAGGAGTAAGGGGGAACGAGTCTGCAGCAGACAGAGCCTGCAAGGCCTGACGGGTCTGTTTGATACTCTGGACGAGCTCCCCCCAGCAGCAAAGAGCCTCATCCCCAGGTGGGGGAGTCCTGGTCACCCCCCCAGCAGGGATCCAGCCCAGGATTAGCAGGGAGGATGCAGCTGACCCTGCTCAGGACGTGTATGAGTAACCCCCAAGCTCCTGCTCCCCATCCCCGAGGGGGCACATGGGGCGATTCGGTGCTGGTCCATCGCTGCATCAGCTGGCGGCATCCCGCAGTGGGGGGATGCAGGGCTGCACCAGGCACAGGCTCACATTGATTTTTTTTTTTTTTTTTCCCCACAGGATTTGCCAAAACTCTCAAAAGATGGCTCATTATTTTCAGGAAATTAAATAACTTTTATGGGCAGAGGCTCTATTTAGAAATCATAAAGAAACAAACAAATAAAAATGTGTCACTACAGCTGTTTGGAATTAGCTTTTCATATAAAACTTTGATGGAAGTGGCAACATTTGTTACAGGCATTTGCAGTGGAAAATTTCAATCTTTTGTGGAAATCCTCCCCACTTCCCTGCATGGATGTATTTGACCCAGTACAGGAAATGTGTTGGTATTTTCTTGAAAAATATTCTCATTCAGATATTCCCATGAAAACTGATCAATTTTGAGGTAAACAGGAATTTCAGGCGATGACGTCAGTTTGGTTAGACCCCGCATTCTCTGTCCTTTCCTAAAGCACTCCCTTGGCACAGTCAGCTTTCTGTGGTGGTTGGAAGTCCTCCTGGCCGGGCCGGGGTGTCCCCCCATCACCTCCAGTCCCCGATGGTTTGGGCTGCTCAGGCAGTGGGTGCTGCTCGAGTTAACCCATACCCAAAGCAAAATGAGGCACTTTCCTCTGACCCAGGCCACGTAGGGCAGGAGGACAGGCTGGGACTGATGCTCTGTCCTTGGCAGGGAGATGATGGGGTGAGAGCACATCCCACATTTCCCCTGCTCCTGATCAGAAACCCTCTTGGGCCCTTTGTGATCAGACCTTTTGCTCCCCGGTGTTGCCGGTGGCCCCTGATGTGTGGAAGGAGCTGGCCGCTGTCTTAATTAGACAGCTTGGACAGATTGATTTCTGCGACTGGAAGAAGCAATTGATTTACTCTGTGGGAGACAGCTGGGACCGAAGGAAAATTCTCCCTGTGGTAACTTATCTATTGCTTTTCTCCCAAAAGCTCGCTCTGCGGGCAGGTCGCCTTCCCGGCTGTGCCTGCGCAGCGGTGTGGGAGCACCCACCACCGCCAAACCAGAGAGGGGCTGCAGGGTCTCCCCGGGGAGCCCAGCTGGCACCAAACCCACCATTCCCTTGGCCGGGGATCTGCCAGGCTACAACCCCAACCCCTCTCTGGGCCGTGCCGCGATGGGGAAAGCCTGGGAAAAGGTTTGTGCTCCTCAGGGCTGCGTTGGAGGGTGTCACTGCCATGGCTGGAGTCCCAGGTGGGGGGATTTGGCAGCCCCTTGTGCTTCTGCTGAATTGTGGGCCCCGTAACCAGGGTCTGTGTTTCTGGTAGGCAAGAAGGGCAGACGGGGTTCAGATGGCGATGCTAAAGCTTGTGATGCTTGTCCCTCAAACGCAGTCCTGGCTTCCCTCCCCATCCAGCGCTGGCCAGAGGTGTACAGGGCACATCAACAGCGGAGGCTGATTCTGGAGGACTGGGCTTGGTGTCTTTCCTCGCTTGGCCGGAGCACAGAGCCCTGGCCACACTCCCACTTTCCTCCCTGGTTGCCCTGTGGCTGTCTCTGGGCATGGTGGGAGCTGCTCTGAAATCTTGCCTCCAGACAGACCCCGCACAGAGCTTTGTGTCCATTCCCAAGGAGTTTGCTCTCACACTATTGATCCAGCCATCAGCTCTCCCTGGAAGGTTGAACTTGACTTATTCCTATTTTATTC